ATCCAAAGGACTGCCTTCAGGAGGTTGTAGGCGACGCTTTTCACCACCTGCGACTTGTTGCAAACCTTCTGGAAGTGGAAAGCTGTCTTGCACAGGGACCGTGTACACCGCCACCATAAAGTAGGTCGGCCGTCCCCGCTGGTCAATCCCCTTCTTGTGAGGCCCGCTCAAGTCTATACTCAGAGTATAGGATTCAGGATGTTGTACCCGACGCCTTGGCCGATCTCTCCCTGCACCTTCAAGACAAACTGCACAATCTCGTCGGAAAGGTTTGTGTCCATTTGAAACATGCAGTTGCCACTCTTTGATTTGTCTTTGCTCCACCGCAGACAGTGCACATACTGCAGGAGTCTGCGTGTTGACCCTGTTGATGCCCTTCACCAAGAGGTTCTTCAAGCCCGGTGCCCATGACGCCAAAGAGCTCGAAAGTTCCATGCGCTTATTGAGTTCTGAGGGCCATTCCTTGGAAGATCCCCTTGACATCAATCCTTGTAGGTCAAAAAGTTCTTTCATTGATGTCAAAACCGTAGTTGGTTTGTTCGTTTGATGTCCAAGTGCACCTTGATGGAAACTGATCCTTCGCAAGTGGCATTTCTTCACCATCACCTCAGTCTCAGGCCATGCCAGGAAGCTTGGAAAGCCATTCCAACCAGGGATCTTCTCTTTAATGTCCACCGGTGGTTGCTTCCACTGTTCAGGATCTTGTGGTTGTTCCAAGGTGATCTCCAAGTTCTGGTTCGCCTCATAGGCTTGCACTGCCAGCCAGAGCGTCCTCATCCAGAGCAAGTTGTCATTGCAGACCAGCTTGAGCTCCTCTTCCGTGAGGCCATTTCTGCCAAACCGTTCACTGCCATGTCTTGCCCGAACGATCTGTGGTCCATCATCACCTTCAAGAGATCGTAGTCGGCAAACGCTCACAGACCTGCATGGTGGTCCAGCAAGAAGAACATCGATCCTGCCGCTCCTCGCCAGTTGTTCCAGCCACCCATACAAATGGCCATTTCGAAGGTCAGCCCCCTTCGTCAGCTCAATGCAGATGATGACAACCCCATTCTTCTCCTGTGCCATCCAGAACTTTGGATCATCTCCTGAAAAGAGATGCACCACCAAGGTTTTCGCACGTTGAACTTTTCGTCGATGATGTCTGTTGAAGACCACTTGGTTCATGTCGACCTCAGCAAAACCTGGAATTTCCTTTGCCAGATCTGCAGGCACCTCAGGAAAAATTGACTTGAGTCTCTTGACTATCTCCACTTCTGGACACGCTTTTGGCAGTTCCAAGTTTGGTCTGATGGCTGCCAGTTTCATCTGTGTCGCCCGTCGTTGATGATCTTCGACCTGTTGAAGGATGTCTACCCCTTCTCGCCGGGGCAACGTTGGACACCCCTGATCAAGCCGCACTGGTAGTTGAGCTCCATCTGGTGAGTTGATCTTACAGCCAGAGCCTGTCCACTTCACCTCATAGCCCAGCCTTGTCAATGCTGCCATAGGAATGATCATCTGGACGTCATGGAGTGTCAACAAAGACCCTGTCACCGCGTCTTGTTTCAGTTCTGCGGTTCCCGACGCCAAAGCGACTTGAACTGGTTCTCCAAGATCCCATTCTTCTCGAGATTTGGCCTTTCTCAAAACGTGAGTGGCCCCACCATCGATCAAAACCCTTTGATTCTTGCCCATGTCAATCTTCCGGAGGTTCACCGTCTTGACATGGCGATATGCTGTTGAGGAGGATTCCGGGGTTTTAAGAGTCTTTATCAACGATGATACCTCAGTCACCAAAGTGGAAGTCTCCCCCGTACCAGCACCTGATGTTCCTTTAGAGTCAGCTGGTACTTCTTTTCCTCCATCAGTTTCAACTTTCTTCACATTCTTTTGATCATCTTTGGATCCTGCTGAGTTGCCCTTCTGGTCATCTCTGTTGGCTTTGCCACTTTTACCCTTGTAGCCGTAGCTTTTTCCACCCTGTTTTCCAGAGCTTTTTCCATCACCACCACCGGCACCACTCCCCCCGGCTGGAGAACCTTTTGAAGCTCCAGTCGTAGTGTTGCTCTTGTCCTCCTTGGTTGGAGAGTTGTATGGGCAATCCGGTTTCTTGTGGTTCGTTGCGCCACAAGTGTAGCAGTGGTATTTGCCATCTTCATGCGCTGGATGTTGGAACTTGCATTGTGCTCCTTGTCGACATCCTTGATCTGACTTCCAGAAGCGGCATACAGGTTGTGCTGGACTACCAGCTTTGTTATCTTTCAGGGTTTTCACTGCAGGGCTTCCTTGACCTTTTCCATGCGTTTCTTGACTACCCATGGCAAGTTCAACTTCTGCTAGAAGCATCTGATGAAGTTGCTTGACCGTGGCAGCTGTGGGCTTTGTGTCAACTTGTGCCCCCATTCGAAAAGCACTGAGGCGGAAGTTCGCCTGAGGATTCCCTTGTAACAACTTTGACATGATCTTATCAAGCGCACCTACCATCAATGTAGGGTCTGGAACTGTTGCACCCAGCTCTTCAGCTCGTGAGTGATGTCGCTGCCACATTCTCAAAGACGTGGAAGCTTCCAGGTACGTTCCAGCAGGTTGTGTTGTTGTGAGAGCTTGCAAAGTGTTTTGTCGTTCACCCAAGCCCCCTGGTTGATAGACCTTCATCACCTTGAAGATGATCTGAGCAGCCCCAAGCTGGCGATTTGCAATCATCTCAGCAGCCAGTGTCTTTGGAAGGGCCTGCATGAGCAAAGACGTCACCCTCTGCTCCAACCTAGTAAACCCTTTTGGCAATTCCTCAACTGTAGGAGGTTGCACATTGAGTCGAGTGATGGGGTCACTTCCCAACCATTGTTGATAACGTTGAGTGGTCATGGTCACCAAAGTATCCCACCACCACATTGCACGGTGACTGACATCAACAATTTGTGGACGGATTTGGGCCATCCAGTCACCAGCTTCAAGACCTTGATTTTTTCCTCCCAATTCCGGGAGCTTCGGCAGAGTGATGGTCACCGGCTTGAGCTCTTCCTCACGAGGCCGATCATCTTGAACTCCACCACCCAAGGAACTTCTTGGGTCACCAATTCCACCTCCTTGATGTTGACCTCCCCCTTGACCAAGATTCCCAAACTGGCCTCCTTGATATCCAAGTTGGTTTCCAGCCATAGACGGATCTTGTTGATGAAGATATGGATTCTCACTGTTCACCTGGATCCAGTCGCGCATGTTGACGTCATTGCAAGCTTGACGAAGATGCCATTGAGCTCCCGGCGGATCAGCACTTGGAGGTCCCACTCTTTGAAATGGTTGAGATCCATATGCACCCAAAGGTTCTTGACCAGGAACCCGTCGCATAGTCAAAGCTTCGCGAAGTTCCCTGAGTTCTTGCTCAAGTCGTTGAACCCTTTCCGCTTCGGGATCAGGTACTTGTTGGATTCCTCCTCTTCTGTTATTCCAGAAGCCATGTACCTCTCCATCACCTTGTTGAACACCAACACGTACTGCTTGAGGTCCAAGCCACTTGTTCACCCCCGCTTCATTGTGCTCCTCATACCCCCCAAAAAGCATTGGTGGCACCGGAGGCAATGGCGGCGGCATAGGATCCTTCTCCACCTTGTCAATGGGCGGTGGTCCATCTGGAAGTTGAGTTCCACCAGGAGTGACTTTGGCCACGTCTTTGGTCTGGCGGTTTGTAGGTGTTGTTGGAGTCGCCCTTGAAGGAATCGATTCCCAACTCGAAGTATCTAATTCATCACGTTGTTGATCTTGTTGAGCATGTTGACCTTGTTGTCCATGAGAAGAAGGCTGGTTCTTGTCCTTCGCATCCAACCTTTTGCGAAGCTCCTCATTTTCTTGCATCAACTGCTGCACCAACAACGAACTCAAATCTTGCTCCAACGTTGAACCTGTCTGGTCTTTCGGTTGGATTTTCTTTGGTTCCGCACGGAGTTCTTTTCCTTGCAGATGGTCTTTGGCACGATCTTCACCTCTAGACCTACTTTGATCGTTCCGATGACGGTCTCCAGAAAGTCCACGTGAGTCTCGATCGTTTCCATGACGACTTCCTCCACGTTGTGGATCTTTCGGACTTTGGGCCCTTCCACGTTGCAGAGCTGAGACATCACCATGTGAACCTCTTAGAACATCACCCAGAAGATCCAGAGAACGTTGCCTTTGTCCAGGAGGTTCCCTTTCCCTTCCGTCTCGATCTTGCCGTAGAGGTCCTTGAGAACGAAGTCTATCACCTTGTCGTTCTCCCTGATCGTTTCCCCCTTGACCTTTCCCTCGATGTCCTTCACCACCAAGAGGGCCAAGAAGATCTACTTGAGGAATTCCTGCACATGAGGATTGCTGCGCCAGGTCCTCATCAAAGTCAAAGAGATTGAAGTTCGAAGCTTCTTCCTCCATCCTGAACACCTGAGTGCCCTGTGGTCCTGGAGTGTGAGGCTCCCAGCTGCTAGGTGTCTCAAATGCCACAGCTAGCATTCTGCCTTGACTTCTCAGCAGTCCCCCACCGCTGCCCATCGCTCGAGGAAGCCCCTGCACCGGTCTTGGTGTTTCATCTCCATCCCAATCATCCGCTGGTACTGGAGGTAGGCTTTCTGGAGTTACCCGGACTGGCGGTAGGTTGGCTGGTCTCAGCCTGTCCACTATTGCTGCCTCTTGTACTCCTTGGGACCAAAAAGGGTTCACCGGCTCACCTTCATTCAAGTGAAGACGCCCTTCTCGGTGTCCTGGAACACTTCTACCTCGTCGATGCGCCATGTTTCAGCGACGAGAGGCACGGTTTGGGCTCATAACCTGCTTGCGGAGCAGCGTGAGCACCTGTTTTTCTTGGGCTAAAAGAAGCCTACGGCAGGAAAGTTGTTGTCGACCTACCGCAGGTATGTCTGCATGTCATGTAGCGTACAGATACTACACTTGTTCATAGCCAAAAGGTCAGCTTTGAAAATCCCTTATGCAGAATCAATTTGACATATTTGACTTGGCATCATGGTTTGAAAGTGCTTCAATCGAGCCCTGAGGGCACCAAAGATTCAAATGTTGAGCTTACTGAGTCGCAGCAAACTTAGACATGCCAGACCTTGAATCAGCCAACGCTCCACCCCACACTAGGCTTCAAACGCCCCAGTCTCTTACTGGTTCCACCTTGTTAAGTTATGCGATTCTGCAACTCTCCTTAATCTAGGCCTCTGACAGAGAAAGCAAAACAGGCCAATGGTGCAGGGAATGGATTGCTTGCAGATGTACGTTTTTGATCGTTGGAATGAACAAACTTTGCATGGGCATGGAGTACTTTCATGTTCATTGGACTTGTGGCCTTTTCGATACTTTTCGTGCTCAAGACTCAAGGCTAAAATAATTATGCTCAATTCGCTTCGGCTTCGAGTGCCTCCAACCTCCTGGAGTTTTGCTTTTTGTCCGGACTGCTGACGCGCCGTCAGTAATTCCAAGAGATGTCTGACGCAATAGACACCAATTTGTACAGCCGCCAGATTGGCACCTATGGCATGGAGACCATGGGAAAACTCATCCAGATGAAAGTCTTGATATCTGGCCTCCGAGGTCTTGGTGTAGAGATTGCCAAAAACCTCATTTTGGCCGGTCCGGCCAAGGTGCTTCTGCATGATGATGCAGACATTGAGATCAGAGACCTGGGTGCCAACTTCTATCTCACAGAGGAGGACTTGAAGATGAAAAAGACGAGAGCAGAGGCCTGTCAAGCCCAACTGGCAGAGTTGAATCCCTATGTGGCTGTTGAAGTTCACAAAGGACCCATCACTGAGGAGTTGATTCGCAACTTCTCATTGATTGTGCTCACAGAGAGCAGTCAATCTGAAATGATCAGATTGAACAAACTCTGTCGCAGTGGTAGTGTGGGCTTTATCGCTGCGAACTGCTTCGGCTTGGCCGCTTCGGTCTTTGTGGATTTTGGTGATGCTTTCACCTGTCGTGACAAGGATGGCGAAGAGCCCCGGAGTGCCATCGTCTCAGGGATCACCTGGGAGAATCCAGGAACGGTCCATACGCACCAAGACAGGCGGCACGGCTTCCAGGATGGCGACTTTGTGGTCTTCCGAGAGGTCATGGGGATGACTGAGCTGAATGATGGAAAGCCTCGACAGATCAAAGTTTCAGGCAGATGGGGCAAAGTGATGGGAATATATATATATATATAATAATAATATATATATATATAATACAATCTATATATGAGAAGTTTTGAGATAACATGGTTTACATATGTTTATATAGTTTTATATACATATAATATGTTTACATACTGTAAGATCTGTAAGTTCAAACTATACTGACTCTCTATACTGGAAGTCCACATGGAATCATGTTGAGAGTTTTGAACTTTGAATTCATGACTCATAACCACCCTTTCACACCTGGAATCGGCCAGTCTCAGGTCCTTTCTCTTTCACCATCGAGGATACCTCCAGCTACACAGCCTACATCTCTGATGGCATTGTGACTCAAACCAAGGTTGCTCACAACATCAGTTTTTCCTCCTACGAAGACTCGCTGGTGCAGCCCAAGCCCGCTGGTGAAGAGATGCATGTCCCAGACATGGCCAAATTCGGTCGATCCGAACAACTTCACTTTGCAGTGCAAGCTGTCTTGGCGTATAGAGAGAAACATGGGAATCTGCCAGCTTTGAGAGATGTCACAGCTGCCGAGGAGTGTGTCCAACTGGCCAAGGACATCAATGAACAAAGGAGAAAAGTCGGGGATTCCGCCATGTTTGTTGAGGAGGTTGAGGCAGATGTGGTGAAGAATGTGGCAATGTTTGCAAGAGCAATGATCTGCCCTATGGCAGCATTCCTGGGAGGAGTGATTGCACAGGAGGTTGTGAAATTTACAGGGAAGTTCACCCCACTTCACCAGTTCCTGTACTTTGACATGTTCGAGCTTTGTCCAGCTTCAGAACCTGCTGACTGGAAGCCCACAGGAAGTCGTTATGATGATCAGATCGCCATTTTTGGGGCTTCCTTTCAGCAAGAGCTTGCAAATATGAAGCTGTTCTTGGTCGGAGCTGGTGCTTTGGGCTGTGAATATCTCAAGAGTATGGCCTTGATGGGAGTCGGCTGTGGTGGCGGCAAAGTGACCGTCACGGACATGGACCGAATAGAAATCTCAAACTTAAATCGACAGTTCCTTTTCAGACAATCTGATGTAGGACACTCCAAGTCACAGGCTGCTTCTAGAGCAGCCAAGGCCATGAACAAGGACCTGAGCATAGAGTCGATGGAAGTTCGAGTTGGCCCAGACACTGAGGATGTTTTTGATGACACCTTCTGGGATAGCTTGCACTGTGTGGTGAATGCCCTGGACAACATCCAGGCTCGCTTGTATGTGGACTCTCGTTGTGTTTGGTTCGGCAAGCCGTTGCTGGAGTCAGGAACCCTTGGCACAAAAGCAAATGTACAGGTGATTTTGCCAAAGCTGACCCAGTCCTACGGAGATTCCCAGGATCCACCAGAGGAGTCCATCCCACTGTGCACAGTGAAGCATTTCCCCAACGCCATCGAGCACACCATCGAATGGTCCCGGGAAGCCTTTGAGCAGATGTTTGTGGAAAGCCCAAGGGAAGGGAACTCCTTTCTGAGTGATCCAACAGCGTATTTGCAGAAGCTCCCAAGCACAGGGTCTGGAACTGCCCAATTGCAGCGCCTCAAGTCCATCAAACATATGATGGAAAAGCGCTCTGGACCATTCGAATCCTGTGTGGAATATGCAGTTTTGGAATTCCAAGAGAAGTTCCATGACTCCATTGCCCAGCTTCTGTACACTTTCCCACTAGACCATGTCACCTCGGAAGGCACCAAGTTTTGGAGCGGTCCAAAACGGCCACCCGCACCAATCAAGTTTGATGCAAGCGACAGCTTGCACATGGATTTCGTTGTCGCTGCCGCCAATCTCTATGCTGCTACTTTGGGAATGCCGCAGAACCGAGACCAAGGGCAACTTGCCAAACTTGCTGCGGGTGTTCAAGTGCAAGAGTTCAAGCCCAAGGAAATGAAGATCAAGGTGGATGACAAGGACACCACTGGGGAGGGCTGCATGGATGATGATGAAGTTGTTCGGCGCATGACATCCGAAATGTCTGAACAAGTGAAGGCATTGAAGTCCAAAGCAGATCTTCAACCTGCAGAATTTGAAAAGGATGATGACACCAATTTCCATATTCAATTCATCGCTGCTGCTGCGAATCTGCGAGCGCGCAACTACAAAATTCCGGAAGCTGACTTCCACAAGGTTAAGATGACTGCAGGAAAGATCATCCCCGCGATTGCAACAACCACAGCAATGGTGACTGGTTTGGTCAGTGCTGAGCTCTTGAAAGTGGTGAAGTTGGAATCTCGGAAAGTGGAAGACTTCAAGAACGCCTTCGTCACCCTGGCACTGCCATTGTGGGTTCTATCTGAACCGCTACCTCCTCTGAAGACTCTTAGTAAGGAGCATGATCCCATTGTCATGGGACCTGTCAAGGCAAGGCCCGAAGGTTTCACTTCTTGGGACAAGGTGGAGTGCAAGTTGGGCGATGCCACTCTCCAGGAGTTCTTGGATTTTCTGACAGAGGAGATGAGTATCGAGGTGATGATCATGTCTTCGGGCAACGCGTGCCTGTACAATGCATACGTCCCGGCACACAAGAAGCGACTCAAGGAGAAAATCACCTCAATTTGGGAGACAATCACCAAGCAGCAGCTATCTCCGAAAAAGACTTACTTGACGCTAGAGGTGTCTGCATCTGACCTAGATGATGGTGTGGATGTTGTGATCCCAACGGTCAAGTTTCAGTTTAGATGATTGCTATGCTTGCAAGTTTGCCTGAAGTGTGCAATAGCTGTTAGAATCATGACAGCGGCAGAGACCAGCGGCAAAAAATGTGCCAAATTGTGGTTTCATTTCTGATTCATTGTATAGGATGTATAGGTACATATAGCATTGTACTCGTAGCATGTGCATTAGAACTTGCTGCATCAGTTTCCTAGCATGCAACGAAGTGATTGGGCATGCCCACGTTTCAGCTGTGACAAGTTGAATGATATTCGTTGCCCGAAGGAGGCTGATCCGCCTGCTGTGAAATTACGCCTGCCAATAAACAAAGTGGAGGACGATGCTTTTGCTTTTACCTCAGTCACTCTTGAATCTTGAAGATTGTAGCGGGTTAATCTTGTCACAGAGACATCCGCAGATTCTTTCAGGCTAATGTGCATGAATGGGCAAAGAACAACGAGAAACGCCGGAGCAGTAGGAAAAAACCATTGTCCCTCTGATCATAGGTTTTTCTTTAGTGGGTGACTCTCAAAGAGAACCTTGCACCCAAGTTCGCCGCAGAACTGCGTTGAATGGTTTGGCCTTTCTCACCACAGGCACATACTGGTGCCCCATCTTGGCTAATCAAGAAGATTGTTTCTAGTTTAAGGATGGCAGGGGGCTCTCATGCTGTGGCTGCGAACAGACTTTTTGATATTCGATACATGATACAAGGCCAAAAACCATATACCGCAAAGCATCTGATCTTTTGAACAGATGCAGTTGCCTTTAAAGGCTGACTGCATGCATCAGAATCGAGCTCTTGCTGAAAGCAAGCAGTTCATTGACAATGATCCCATCATCCGCAGAGAAAAGCGGTTGCAATTCTACCCAGTCATGCTGAGTCATGCTTGCCACACTGATCTCCAAGAGGGTCCTGCCATCTCTTGCAGAAATGCGCAAATGCACACCGCACACATGCATTGAATTTCAATATATTTCAATGCATTTCAGGTGTCTTTGCATTGCTTATGACCTTGGCGAAGAATCGATCATGCACAGGACTGGCAAGAGTAGCCATAATATAATCTTTGTCATATCATTTCATGTGATGAAATTTCATGATGTTTGGCAGGAATTTCCCGAAGTACTCAGATCCTGTATTTCCTTGTGTTTGTGACAAGGCTCGGATTCACATTGAAAGGGTCCGGTTCAGCTAAGGGTCACTCTGTACTCTGTGAGTCGACGTCACGCGCAGGTACTTGGATCTAATGGCCTAGCACCTAGTGTGAGGGCTTTAAAGGCTTTGGTATGAGGAACAATGAGGAACTACAGTACTGTAGGATACTGTAGGTATATCTTTGTGTGTGCAGCTTTGTGTATCTAGTTGTATTTACTGCTTGCGTTTTGGGACTTTTTTAGACAACCGCATGTTCTGAGGAGGAGACGCAGGCATTCTATTTGGTATTCTTCAAAATCACGTGCGGCCATACCATCCTTGACACTAAGCAAGATGTGTTGAGTTTGACAAGAAGCGTTCTTGGAATCTTTGGGTACAGGTACATTGTTACGTCAATCATTGTTCTCGCGATTTTCTACAAGCTTGAAGCTACTTATGAGCGCCAGAAGGCGACAAGATGCAACCAGATTCGCTTTGAAGTTTTGGTTGCCGGCCTGCATAAAAGTTTTGAAGTGCATCATGTGGCCAAAACGCAACCATGCAGGATACGTGCAGTTTGGCAGTCATTCTGATCCCTTGCTGCGTTAGTGCCGTCCTTCTTGCCAAGACGTGCGAGTCTCAAGAGCCTGGCTTGCTGTGATGACTTGGAAGTCTTCGATGAGATTAAGATCCATTTTCCGGTCCATTTACATTAATTACATTGTGAATCAGCAGATAAATCCTCGCAACTGCCTACATGCTCCCTCCATACAGCACAGAGTTTGCACGAGTTTGCTCCCTGCCTTTACGGGGTATTTTCTTCCGCCATATCAACTTGGAGTCGGAGGTCTCAAATCACAGACATTTTCTGGACATTCTCGCAGTTCTGCGAGGGGTTTGCTATGGTGTTAGCCCCAGTCTTGTGGTGCCTTTAGCCTTGTCTTGATTAGATGATCCTGGTTGCATTCTTTGCATTGTCATCAGGTACCTCAGTACGTGTTTTGCTACAGAGATAGAATGGCCAAGGAACTGGGGGGAACCATGGGGAACTGGGAAGAGTCACGCCGTGGATGTTCTTTTCTCGTCCCAACAGATGCAGCCCTCCAGGACCTTGGTGTGACCTTTTATGTCCTCTCAATGGGTTTCGAGCTTGGCTTATCTTTCGCAGAAATGTGACCTCTCTGGCATCTTCAACAAAATCAAAACAAACGCATCATATGCTGACCATGTGTGGATCCTTCTTATGTTTTGGTATACTCAAAAGATTGCAATGCGGTTCAATGGCGACCCGAAGGTGCGTACAGATGCTTCTACGCAGCCAATTGGATATACAAGAAGGTCCTGGCCTGGGTTTCAGTTGCGTCAAATTACAGTAGATTCTTCAGAAAGAACATCAACACCTCTTGTAGTGTTGCCTTGTTGCCCAGTTCTACCAGGTTCTGCTAAACTTCAAGGAAATCTAGCTGACCTTGACTGGGATAAGAATGATAAGAGCAGTGCCAGCAGTGCGTACAAATACTACCGGTAAGACATTGGCATCGTTGACGTCGTTGACATTTGATCGGCTCCCGCGATGATTTGGCCTCAGCTTCCTCACAGCCCAAAAAGTACACGGCATGGCAAAAGGAACACACGTTGGGAAGGATGCGGTCATGGAATGTCATTGCAGGCTTTTTCCACCCAATATGGCACTGGTGATCACTGGTGGACTGTAGCATATAACATCATAATGGAATCATCATGGAATCATAGTTTTTCTAGTGTTTAAGAGGTGGAAATGGCGTATCTGTTGTGAGCAAGTAGGAGCCCAGAACCACCAACAATAGCTTTTTGACACAAACCACAGCTGTGCGAGTCCTTCCGGAGCTTTTGATGCTTGCGATGAGGCAGAAATATTGCAAACCAACATTTTGAAGTGCACAAATCTCCGGGCTGGGGTTAAGCTTGACTGCAGACTTTGCAGTGAGATGGGCTTTGACTCTTGATACCCATGCTACGTTCCCTTTCAAAAGCTTTGTCCCCTTGTGAAAAACAGAAGCCTCCAAACATTCAGGGCCATGGATGAAGGGAAGGTGTGGAGGGTCCAAAGTCATCCATTCTTTATTGCGAGGCAACCGCGAGGCTCTGGCGGCGTGCGGCCCAAGAGAGTGACCCCAGCGACCGCAGCTCGGAGTAGTGCAACTTGGCTTTGAAAGTACGATCCTTTAGAAATGCCTTAGGGGAATCATGGGGAATCCAAAGCGTAGAATCAGGAAATAACAGATTTAAACACATTGAAACTGCTTCATGAGATATCATGAGAAATGCAGTTGGCATTGCGTAACATCACAGCAGATCTGGAAAACGATGCAGCCTGTGCCAAGTGCCCAGAGGTTGCGGAGAGCACATGTGGGTCACTGTCGGACTATGTCAAGGTCACCTGGGATCTGAATGAGCTAACCATCCTTTCATGAACAATGCCGGCACTGGACGTTTTTCATCAGCATTCGTGGAAAGATCAAAGTTTTTGGAAACATGAAACATGATGAAACATGCATCAACATGATGACACATGTAGTGCAATGTTACTCTGATTTACAATGATTTACATGTAAAAAACATCTGGAATGTCATCCAGGCTTTCTTTGGGAATCCATGGAAAGTGAACATTTCTTCAGAGCCAGTGGCTCCCGCCAGGTGCGCACGGTAGGCCGTGGCAGCTTCGGTGAGGCTTTGCTGGTGAAGCACCGCAGCACTGGACAGCTGTCGGTCCTGAAGCGCGTGCGATTGGAGGCGAGGGTTGAAATATCCAAATCAGGGCCACTGGTAGTGACTTGTTAACAGATCAACCACTGTTTATCACTGTTTGCCACCGTAACTAGTGAATATAACTAGTGAATATATGTGAATATCAAATAAGATCAAGCAATTCGGTCTCATTAGGGACTATGTGACCTTGATATTTCTGGATCCACCAGACATCGGCGTCCGCAGGTGATCGGCAGCGGTAGTGATGCCGCTGCGGCGGAGAGTGCTGCCAGAGAAGCTCAAGTCCTGCACCAGCTCCGCCATCCACATATCGTGCCTCAGCTTCGAAGTGATGAGTAAGTCATAGTAGTATAGTATAGACAAACTGTTTGCATGATGATGTTTATTGATGTTTGATGATGTTTGATCTGTCACTGCTGAGACTGCAATTTAGAATTGAATTACTTTGCAGCTGCAAACATTGGACCATTTAGTCTGTAGTAGAGCAGTGATTTACGAAGCAGCATGCTACTCGATGCTATTGGAAGTCGTTCAAATGTGTGCAGGTGGAATTTTTGGCCGCGTTCGTAGATAGCTCGCGAGACTCTAGTGGCGGCACTTTGTGCCTTTTGATGGCATTTTGTGAAGGCAGGGGTTGTAGCAACATTGATAAGCCCTACACAAACATGAGCAGTACCCTTTCCATGCAAGAATGAGCAAATGGCCGCTCTTCCCCGAAAAGCCCCAAGGTAGAAAAAATGCAACCCCCCTGACAACAGCTGGCAGGTGGCGATCTTCAGCATCGCTTGCAAAAAGTCCGACAGGTCGACTGAATTGGTTTGTCATGGGCATATTGTGGTGGAGATCCATTTTTGGCGTTCCGTGTGAGCTCTTGTGAAGGTAGGATAAGGTAGCTTGGATAAGATTTTTAAGGTGAAGGGCACTTCTCTCCATTTACTTGCTTACCCCATGGTGTCAGGAGTGCAGGAGGCTACAAGAGCAGCCGGCGCTTCGTTGGTTTGATGAACTATGCAGCGCGCTTGCCTATGTGCATCAGCGCCAAGCTGCCAAGCCTAAATAGACCATGAGTCGAGCAGTCGAGCAATGCACCAGTCAGTGAATGAAAGTAATCAGAAGCTGAAGAAGCATGAAGAAGCCAACATTATGACGATTATGAGTTGCTGCTGTGTTGTGGTTGTTGTGGTTGTTGTGGCGTCGTCATCATTGTCGTCGACGTGTTAGGCACGCTTGTTTCAGGCGAAAGGTTGACACACCATGGCTGATGTCTGCTGATGAGGGTTTGGAGTACTTCATGTTGAATCAACATAAGATGAAAATGATTGAATCAACATAACGTACTGTAACTTTAATTCGTAAGTTAGCTGAGAAGCTTTTGTGTGATAGGACGGTCAAGGACCGAAGAAGGTCTTCATCTTACAGCTGCACATAGGACTTGGACCTGTCTTCAACCAAGGTTTTACATCGAGATCTAAAGCCCTCGAACATTTTCCTCACTGGCCGTAGCAGTGGCATTGCCAATTTGATCAACGAGGAGGATCTTCAAGCTGAAGCAGTGAACACCATTGTGCAATCCAGATCAATCACTTTGATATGTATGGTCATTTCGTCCTATTTTCATCTATTTTCCACGCTTCGCAGTATGTTGTGACTCACATAGTTCACATACAGATGATCCAATTTGGGTCTGAAAATACCCGGGCTTTTTGGGGTGCTTTTTTATTTTTTGTTGGGTGATTCTATGGCATATATGGCATATATGGGTGTATGATCCAGTGGTTGATCCTCTTTTTGTGCAGAACTTCCCAGGAGTCTGTGGCCATTGGCGACTTCGGTGTCAGTCGACCTTTGACACACGCCATGGAGCTGGTGACCACCATGGTGGGCACACCGTGTTACCTGAGCCCAGAGGTGCCTTTTTGGTGGACATAAAGGGCAAGTAGGTACAACATGGTACAACAGTATATCAATGACAGTATGTTTTTTTTGTCATTTTTCGGCATGACATAATGATATTGAACTGATATTGCGTATGTTTTTATATTTTATCTAATCATGTAATATAGATTTGTGCTTTGCTGTTGGGTTGCAGTCTCATTTTGCCGCTAGGACTCAGTTGATAAAGCCGTTCAAACAGTATTCTCTTCAGTCCAAGAGGTAGAACTCTGTCATACCCTGAAGTGCACCTTGTAATAACATTGATGCCGTCGCAGCATTTGGGCCAAGCTTTGCAGTGTAGTTCCTCTCAACAGAACTTCAACAGCAACGCAGCAACGTTTTGCAGCACCCGGAGCCGCGGAGCCCGAAGTCTTTTCTGGGCCAAAGCCAAAGCACGCCATGGCCAAAGCCAAAATTTGCCGCGCTCGAGACCTTCGGATCCCGGGAGTTGTCGTGGTTTGCTTGAGCTGGCTTGGACTGGATAGCCTGCTGTTCAGCATCTGGGCTTTCATTGGAAGTTGGCAAAATTGGCAAACATTTTTCCATGGATTCACAGGTTTCAATTCAGCCGGCTGAAGGGAGGGAGATCTAAGGCGCACCAAAGCCAGCAGAACAGCGCTTCCTGTTTTGCCGCCATGGTCAAACCACGTTCAACGTTGAGGATCGCTTTCAAGGCATGCAGCTGTTGGGTGTTTTCGTGAAGTGCAGACAGATGACAAAGCCTGCAGGTACAATGAATGAGGAGCCTGTGCTCACACAAAAAGGCCAAGAGCAAGCGAGAGAGCTGGGTAAGTGGCTCAAGGAGCAAACCATAGATTCCATAGATGCTGTTTTTGTTTCGCCATTGCTTCGCGCCCAACACACGCTGGAACTCGCGAGAGAAGTCGCAGGCTGGACATCACCAGACTGAAAGCTTGGCTCAAAGTTTCATGGTTGTTCAGTTATGTTATGCGTGTAGCCTTGACAGAAAAGGCTTCTTTTGGCACCTTGTCAGCGCAGGCAACAAGATTCCAGAGTCTGCCACAACTCTTCAGGAACTACGTGAAATTGAGTTGTATGAGCCAGGGGCACAGTATGTTATTGAAAACTTTGCCTTTTGCGTCGGTTTGATCATGCTCAGTAGATCTTGCCTAAGGTGGGAAGGATTTACTCAGCCAGAAGTAAAAGCCAAGTCTCCTGAGCAGTTCCGTCAATGGAAGGACAAGCACCGCTTAACATGTCAATGGTGCTTTGCATACGATTGCGGTAGATCAATGCTGCATGCCATTCATCGACTTGTCACGGACATTGCTTTACATGTTGACATTTCATTACAGGTTTGCCTTTCTTTGCTCAAGGTTTGAACTCTGAAGTTGCTGTCAGCTGCCTCATTCGGTACCAGTAAATCCCAATGATACTTCTTGGCTTTGTTCTGTAATGCGAACGTTTCTGCTCAAACACTCTGGAACAGTCCCGGCCAAGACAATCGCTTCAAGCTGTGTAAGATGCAAGGAGGAGGCATGGAACCTTTGTGTTAGCGGACACTTTGTCGTGCGAGATCTTTGGCAGCGTGCGGGGGAAGCCTGGAAGATTATGCGCAAAGCTCTTGCCTCAGTGCGGGCGAACATTGCCATTTCGCTGTTTGGCTGTTGGCCTGTTGGCTGGAGCTTCGCTCTATGGCATTTTAGTGGCTCCAAGATTATGATGTGAAGGACCAAGTTATCATGTGCGCAGAATCAGAATCGCCGATGTGAGGTGGCCCCAAGCACTGGGGTGTCACTTATTGTGGCTCATGGAACTCTTGGCAGGGCACTCGCCTTATCCTTCACATCAAGATTCTGCCTTCTGGTTCAAGCTTATTTTAGCAAAATCTTCCACTGGATATTTAAAGTTCAGTTCTTCAGCTTGCCTAGCTGGGCCTTGCAGGCCATGTTTCCATTCCAGAGAATTCTTGTCTTCAGCCAACAGGCGATGTTGGGCACTGCTTTGGGTTTGCCTGAGCAGGCAAGTTGGAACAAGTTGGAACAAGTTGGAACAAGTTGGAACAAGTTGGAACAAGTTGGAACAAGTTGGAACAAGTCTTGTTGCTTACTGAACTGCATCCCATGATGGTGGAGCGCGTCAGTGGCGCAGGCATTTCGTTATTTTGCCATCAAGAACGGTGAGGTTGTCGAGGTCCCTTTTTGTTATTCAGATTTGCTTTTGCGCCAATTTCTTATAATTTCTTGTTTCAAGAAACTTCAAGTTGAACTGAGTCCTTTGCTCAGGTGGTGTTTCCGGATAAGTCTTCCAGTCCAGTTCTCAAACCGAGATCGGCCTCTGGAACGTCTCTCTTGGACTCCATGCCGTGTTGCATCGTGTTGCCGTTTCAAGGTGCAGCTTCCGGGGCAAAGTGGCGCAAAGTGCATCCCACACAGGGCGACGCTGACGAGTCTTTTTTTTAGCACCTGCAGTGGTTTGCAATATCCTGCAATGCACCTGCATTAGTGGCAAGCATTCTTATACGTAGCATTCTTCTACAAAATATATCAAACTGATATAAACCATATATAAACTATAATAATATATATATAAATATATAATATTTATCCAAGTTTGAGTGTACTTATGATTCATTTGATTCACGATTTGTGGTCCCTGTAGCTTCATATTCTGTGGCTTTCGGTGTCGGTGTTTTTGGATCAAGGCCGAGGGGATCCAAATTAGCCGACTTAGCACAAAAGAATGCACCAATTGATCACCAACTACATCAGAGATGGCCATGATTTGGTACCTGGAGATCTAAAAAAGTGTTGCAAACTTCATTACCCACGGCCTTGTGTTGGCAATGTGGCCCTTCTGCGCAGCTAGTGCTACTCAGCTTGCAGACGATTCGATAATTTGTGTTTCACATTGCAGCGTGACAACAGCTGAACTTAGACAGGTGCTGCATGGTGCTGCAGTGAATTTTCATCCGAGGACCGCTCCAAAACCTCACAGCCACAACCTCCAAGCACGGCCGATGATGAAGCGCTGGCGCGCTCTTTGCAGGATTCCCACCTGCTCTTAACTATTACGACCCATTTATATACAATCATAATAATCATGGTTCTTGTGAGATTCTTGTTGAAGCACTTCTGGTCATGCTGTGATTGAAGTATATAGATGTATATGTATATAATAATTAAATTTTCTTACTTGAGTGATGCTGCAGGAGCAGCAAGATGCTGAAGTCGCTCAGATGTTCCTCTCTTGCATTTTTTGATTCTTAGCTGATTGCACTTCAGAAGATTGTCAAGTGACCTCGATATCCTCGATCACCTGCATGGTAGGATCTAAGATTGCTTCTGTTATCAGAGTTCATTTTCAGAAAGGCAACTGCCACAATCTCAGGCTAGCCCGTGCCGGCAGCGGCAATCTATCGCTGCCTGCGCAGCAGAAGGCGGTTTGTGGAAAGGAAAGGGCAAGCGATGGAACCAGTTTCTGTACCTGATCCGGGTAAGTCACATGAAGTTGCCCCTTTGTAGCCAGGTTTTACTAGTGGTTGCATTGATCATCATTGATCTATATTGTGCTACTCCCGATGTTGCGTGCAGGTGGTTGCTATGCAATGTGGAGTGTGCGGAAATAGTGTGCAGGCGGTTTTGCACGCCCAACAGGACAGCAATGACTCAATGGACAGCAAGGCCGAGGTGAAAGCGTCAGTCCCCTGAGGTGCAGGTACCAGCATCAGCTCAGCCTGGCTCTGCAACCAGCCTGCAATTGGCATGGAAGCTTAAGAACTTTGTGCACTCGAATTACCACTAGTACCACCACAAGGCGGTGGCGGAAGTTTCAAAAACAGGAAACCTATAGGAGAGGTTTGGTTGTTGTGATGCATGGATGGCAGAGTGAATCCACTGATGGACCGCAAGGTGGTTGGAGTTTTGCTTTTTGGGATGGTTGCAGTGGTCACCTCACCAACAACTGCTGGATGTAGTGTGGTGTAGTGTAGTTGTAGTTGTAGTGGTAGTCGTAGTGGTAGTGATAGTTGTAGTTTTAGTTTTAGATAGTTTTAGTGTAGTGTAGGTATAGTGTAGGTGTAGTTGTAGTTGTAGGTCTAGGTGTAGGCGTAGTCTATGTGTAGGTGTAGGTGTAGTTGGTGTTGGTGTTGGTGTTGTAGTAGTTGTAGAAGTAGGACTAGAAGTAGAAGAAGAAGTAGTTGTAGTGGTGGTGGTAGTAGTAGCAGCAGCAGTAGTAGTAGTAGCAGCAGTAGTAGTAGTAGTAGCAGCAGCAGCAGTAGTAGTAGTAGTGGTAATGGCAGTAGTAGTAATAGTAGTAGTAGCAGTAGCAGTAGCACCTCCAAAATCCGAACGTGGTGTGCTTATTGACTTCGAAACGCGCTTCACGCCACAACGCCGTGCACTTTTTCAACATCTCAACGTCCAAAAGTGGCGCGAAGATGTGCCTTTTTAGCATTTTTACTTCGAGATGTGCTTCGCGCCACAACGGCGTGCACTTTTTCAACATCTCAACTTCCAAAAGTGTTCCGAACCCGCTGTGTTTTTCACATTTTGACTTCCAAGCGTGCTTCGCGCCAGACCGGCGTCCACCTTTGCAACATCTGAACTTCCAAAAGTGCTCCGAACGTGATGTGTTTTGATGTGTTTTGGCCATTTTGACTTCCAAATGTGCTTCGCACCGCAACGGCGTGCAGTTTTTGAGTATCTGAATTTTCAAAAGTGCTCCGAATGTGGTGTGTTTTGACATTTTGACCTTTGACTTCCGAACGGTGTGCACTTTTGCAACGTCTCAACTTCCAAGAGTGCTCCGAACCTGTTGCGTTTTTCACAGTTTGGCTCCCACCACAATGGGGTGCAATTCCTCATCTCTCATCTGACCAGATGGCTCCGCACCCGCCACTTTAGCGAGCCTCCTCTTCGACCCTCCGGGGCCCCAAAACATTGGAACAGCACGGTGTTTCGCGACTTTTCTACGTTTTGGAGCGCCTTGATCTTCTTTCTGCTGCCTTTCTCTTCTCTGATCTTCTTTCTTCTTCCTTTCTCTTCTCTGACTCTTCCCATCTCTGCTTTTCCATCTGTCCATATTGATTGTCAGAAGTTTGACTTCTAAACTTCCTTCGATGAATGGATTTGCACTACAGAGTTCTCCAGCCATAAAAATTCGATTTGAGCCGAGACCGTCCAAGCAGCATGTCCACGCTGCACGGCGGAGAACAGCTTCACACTTCCATCGTCTTCGCCTTTTCCCAATGGTTTTGCGCTTCCAGGTCCAGGACCAACTGACAAGTGACGCACCTGAAAGATAATATGACGGGTATGACAGGTATGCTTGGCAGATCTTCAGGACTGTCGGCTCCACCAATGATGGAAGAGGGCATCAATGATGAGCTTTTGCATGTGGCGACTCTTTGCAGCAGAGAATCTCCGAATCTCCAAGATTGCGTGGTAGCAAAGAAGGCTCGTGGGCTGCATGGCACGTCACCCAATTGATCCAACTTGTTCCAGGTGTGAGATGGGAAATCGTGCCGTTGAGATGATGGTGGACACTGGAGCTCAAACATCAGCAGCTCAACTGCAGCCATCTCACGTCGCGTCACTGCGTGGGCCCTGCCTTGCAGCGCTGAGGTGATCTCGATGCCGCTGGTGAGAACGTTGGGCTTGGAGTCGCGGCTGGACAGTCGATACCAAGGACAGGCATGAGACACTCATGCACACATTGATGTATGGTAAAGTACCAAATAGCATTGGTGTATGGTAAAGTATCAAATCATAAATAAATAGATAAACTAGATAGACAATAATTAAAACATAGATAAATGCATAAACGCAGAAATACATAAATAGATCAATAAATAAACACACAAATACCTAATAAACGAATAATTAAATAAATAAACAAATAAAAACAAATATGAATAAGGTAAATAAAGAGAGAGGGAGAGAGAGTTTTTTAAATACACACACATACATATACATATACATATACATGTATGGTCCCGGCCGGCGGCCGGCAACCCACCCCACCTCAGCACCTGAGACGCAAAGTTTGCCGCGCAGCACGCGACTGCCAGACTGACGATAGCACAAAGGCGGAGAAAGGTGTGAAATACCCAATGAGAGATTCGGGAATAGAGGAACCGTTTTGAGTTTCTTTAGCATCTACTCTTTACACCGCGAATTTAGTGTAGAGTTTTCGCAGGGGGGATGGATCGAAAAGGGGGTGTACCGCCACTGGCCTCAGGGTGAAGGCCGCTTGGTATTCCCTCCAGTACTCCCCCATGCTGGTGGCCTGGCCATATACCACCATCCATGTGCTATATTTACATGCTGGCTTCATGCCACCTATATACTACCCACATGATACCTCCATGCAGGGTCGTTCAAGATGGAGAGTCCGCCGTCGCCGGTGAACGGCGATGAGAGCCCCGAACATATACAGGGCAGAGGTGTGAGCGCCTGAGCTCGGTGAGGCATACCATTGTCGGCATCCATGGGGTGCGATAGCGATGCAGTTGCGTCACCGCATGCTGCAGCAGCTGCTTTTCCGCCAGGGCAGAACCACAGTGCCTCTTCAAGTTCACGCACGCCACTGGGTGAGCGAGCGGCATCGGTTTAGAGAAAAGATATCGAATAAGACGTGCCAGTTTGGTACCCGCAACAAATGCGGTACAAGTGGGGAGGTTGTAAAACTGCCCCCACCGTTCGCTCCAGCCCCACCGCAACAGACATGGTCAGGTCCATCCAGGGCCCCTTTGTCTTCGTTGTTCTTCGTGGTTCAAAAGCAAAGAGGGAAGGAAGTGCTGGTATTCATATCCATTCTCTATGGCTCTTTTCAAGAACTTGAGTGCACACCCATGCAAGAAGAATATCAATCTGTGCGGTTCACAGTTCGCTGCCTATATGCCCATACAGCGCATACAATCTAATATGCAGTTTACAACCATACAGCATCCTTATAGTAACCATGTATTAGCTACTGTCAAGATCTCATGTGCTATACATATATGCTAGTCATGTACTACCCATACACTATCTACATGGTACCTTTATAACACCCCACCCATCCCACACGGGGGGCGTGGAGCATGCTAGCCACATACTACCTACTTTTTGCCTTACATGCTAGTGACGCACTACCTAGCCCCCACCCATCCCACAGAAGAGCGGGGTGTGTAAACTATGTCCTACATAGATCTACATAGAGCCTCCTACATACAGCCTACATGCAGAACCATCACCATGACGTGAGGGGGTGGTGTGGGGTTGCGGAGCTACTGCCTCTATTTGAGAGCAGAACGGAGTCTCTGGAGTATAGTAGCTGTTCCATTATTTTAGAGGAAGACGGAGTGCCTCTATTTTAGAGGAGAACAGAGGCTCTGGAATAGGAGTTACCGCCTCTATCTTAGAGGACAGCGGAGTCTCTGCAATCTAAGCTTTGCATCCATTTTTAGTTGCCAACTATGTTTGTTTTTTGGTTGCCGAATCAGCGCTTTCTTAGTTGCCGACTCATAGTTCCCGACTCAGCGCTTTTGGTTGCCGACTCAGCCCTTTTTGGTTGCCGACTCATAGTTGCCGACTCAGCGCTTTTGGTTGCCGACTCAGACGGGTTTTGGTTGCCGACTCAGCCCTTTTTGGTTGCCGACTCATAGTTGCCGACTCAGCCCTTTTGGTTGCCGACCCAGACCGCGACCCCGGCCTGGGCCATTTATTGGTATATGATGGTATATGACATGATATCAAAATTTCATCATGATGTGATGGATATCGCTTAATATCATTTAATACCAATACAAACCATTGAATACCATTTAGAACATCGGAATATCATGGATGAATTGCTTGCCAGGAATGGCTGCTGGAGTCGGCACTGCTAGAATTCTGGGCAAGCTGCGGAGTGTGCCAGTTCCATGTTTGCATCGAGGTATCCTGTTGCATTTTGATTATTTGGATCCTAGTCAGCTGGAAATAACTCATGAGAAGGATGAAAAAGGCAAGGCCTCACGACAGTTCGCCTAAGGTGAAGATTGGTCATGTGGAATTTGCGCTGGAGTCTGGGCTATGATCTCCGAAAGTCCAGAGAAAGTGCAGTCATTGACCATCTGGAAGTTTCTGGACATTTCATGTGAGTTGTCCTCAGGATTTCTCCGTTCTGGGGGTGGACCAACCACTCCTCCTGTTGGGGATAGATCAAATGTGCTTGCCTTAGTCATTCAGTACTTTCTTGGAATGTCAACATAGAACACGACGTGAACACATGCAAATGAATATATATGGTGATCGATCTAAAGGTCCTTGTAAGGAGTTTTAGTTGCGAAAGCCGTGCATGTTATGTTGGAAACCCTCGCGAAAGTTTTTTTCGCGTTCGCGAAAGTAACATTTTTTTCGCGAAAGTTTTCGCGAAAGTTGGATATTATAATCATTATGTAAAGGGCTGCCGCCCACTGCCACCCGGGGTCCGGCAGGAGAAGGGCACTAGAGAATTTCGGTTTGGTTCTGGTTCAGTTCCCTGTGTGGTGGTGCTTGTGGACAATCACACCCTTCATAGGTAGCAGCCGAGCTTCCAAAGGCGAGGCTTCGCGACAGCCAAACGCCATGTTCCTGAAGCACATCCTTGCACCTGCCGCTGTCATTGCCTAATGATGCTTGCTGAAGTCTCAAGAAACAAGCTCCAAATGCAGCAGCCAAGTTTCCAAAAGTGAGGCTTTGCGAGAGCCAAACACCAAGGCCCCTGGTGTTCGCTTTTCCTTCAATGCCCCCCCTGCTGATGGCCGGGGTCTGTGAATAGGGATATTTTCGCGAAAGTTCCGCGAAAGTTATGCGAAAGAGCGGGCGAAAGTCAAAGTGTATGTTGAAGGGGGTGGGCCAGCAAACCTTGCCAAAAAAACCTAGTCAGCAACAATCTGCCCTGAGAAGGGATTCCGTGATGCTAGCTGCATGTTTAAAAGGCTATCAAGAAGTGATCCGTGATTCTCTGGCGTAATTTGGCAGGTGGTGAACGAATCTTCATAAGAGGTGTTGTTGGCCAACATGGGCCCCGCGAAAGATAAACATGGAGTTCGCGAAAGTTTCGCGAAAGTAACATTTTTATTCGCGAAGAATGGCCGTTCCCGGATAAAGGAATTTTGATCAACCACCATCCATATATATATATATATTTATATATATATATATAATATATATAGATGAACTTAGAACATAGGGGCCCTTACTTTTGTGCCTTTTCTTTCGCTGTGTGGTGAACTTGGAGAAGCCCAAACCTTGGACCCGACATGACACATGAAACGATTTCCTTTCCTTGGAATTGTTTGTGGCTGACTAGCATGTTTTCTTGTTGCCCCAGCAGTGCCCAACCAAAATAGATACCTTTTCTCTCTGGTTTGTGTGACTGACAGGGAATGCCTGATTTTCGGTGGTGCAGATGGCGTGGAAGTTCCCTTCCTTCCATCGGACTCCAGACGGCGTCCGTCATACAGCATTTTGGCAGGACTTGATACGCAAAATGGCAATATTACTGTACTACTTGTCGGGAAAATGATGATCAAACATGAAATTTGAGGGCTATCCTAATTTTAGGCAAACGCATATGTGTCCAACAAGTTGAGCAAAGGTACAGGTAGAGCATACGGTTGGTGACTGGAATTTACATGTGCACAAAAAACTTGATGGGAACCGTATCCCCTGTCAACGTGAGCCTATTGAATGCCTGCCCTTTGTCCCTATGAAATGCGTTTTTTTTGTGCCTTTTTGAGGCCGTTCAATAGAAGGCTAATTGCTCAAAGATGTTTGTATCTATTTTTGGGGCACATTAATGTCTAGGATAGAGGATTAAAAACTGATGAGGAATGGTTAGGAAATAAGGATTCGACATACATTATATAGTGAAATAAGGGGGTCATTTCATAGACAGAGAGGGGGTCATTTCATAGAGGAGTACAATCAAACAAGGCCTTCACAAGGAGCGAGAAGTTATGGTTGGCATCCCATTAATCATTCCTATCACAAAAAAGTACGCCAAATCCAGGGACAAAATTATAAACCACCCCATAATAATGTATTCCAACCTTTGTTATACATTTTATAGAGGAAATATGTTTGGTTATGCATTCTATAGTAGTTATTTTGTCTATAAAGCGTTTGCCAAATGCGGGGTATGGTTGACAGGGGGATGTGGAGCCATAGCACTCTGAGGACAAGCTGGTTGTGCTCCAATGTAATCTCAGACAGCGTGGCAGTGAAATGCTATGCTGTCCCTAGTCTTTTGGTTTGGGTCGGACTCCAACAGAGTTGTTGTTGGCGTCAGAGTGCTGGATCAGCTGTGATCTGCTACCTCTAAGAGGAGCAGTGGCTAAACAAAAGACCAACTGACCAAATTGGTTCAGGATTCATGACATTAGAAGCATTTTCAGTACAGACTTTGCACAGAGGTAGCCCTAGTGAAAGTGCCTTGATACGGCCATGTGGCGCGTAGCACTTGGCACATTTGGCACACTTAGCACTGGACCTACCTAGAATGCCTCAGCGTGTACAGTGAAGCTGGAAGGCTTTGTGGCTAAGAAACACCAGATTTGGCAGTAAAAGGCATTTGTTTTTTCAGTATTTGAAATCCTGCAAAGCTGATTTATTTCTTTGGCATGGCCGAGTCTCGCATCATGACACGGGCAATTCGACTCATGATGCATCTTGAAACACTGTTGAATGAACATATCAATTTATCTCCCACAGCATCCCAGCCCTATCGAATACAGCCAGAGCCAGGTCCATGGCGATCATTGGCAGATGAGCAGAAGGCCACTCCAAATTTCTATTGTGGTTTGCGTGGTCAGCTGGTACCGTTTCTTCTGTTGACACAACAAATCTTTCTTTGCTTACTTTGTCTCCCATTGTGACTGCAATCCCAGAGGCTATGGCGACTTCGAGTGTTGAGGAAGTTGATATAGCATAAGAGAGGTGCAGGATGAAATTAAATGGTGGACACGAGATGTGCACTTGGAAGACTTGAGAACTTGGAGCTGCAATATACTAAGAGCATCTAAGAGCCAGCAGTCCGAAGTCCGAAGTGGTCTGATTGCCTTGGACATTGAGAAGTGAAACTGGGATGTCGGCAGATCCGACATGGAGAGTGACAGCCAAATTAGGTTTACTTTCCCGTGTATGCTGTGTGCAGCTTGCCTGTAGGCAAACTCCATTGCTTCAGCTTTCCTTCCATGATTGGATAAGAAAGAATGTCAACATAAGACTTTCTTGAATCCAATCAACAATCCTTTTTCGGCAACAGGAAGCCACTGTACGTAGACAAAGTCGACTGGATGCAGAGACGCTAGTTCGGAAAATCAATCCTGAAAATTGCCTCGGTGATTTGCAGGGTCAGGATGCTCAGCTTTGTGCCCGGCAACGGTCAGCATGTTTGAATCCAAAGTCGATGTGTTTTCAACGACCTTGACATGTCTTGGGGGCAGTCTGGCAACAAGACAGCCAGTGCCCTGAAGGTGTGCAAAGGCAGGCCTTACTCCTATAAGTCTGATATTTGGCCCTTTCCTCAGGCTGAAGCAAGCACAATCTGATGCTCATTTGACTGAGTTGCCCCAACGATACAACTTGACTTGCATCTATATAACATAAAGATGAATCCATAAAGATAAATACGAGTCTATGAGAGATATCCCCACAGCAAACTCAGCCAGTGCTCTCTGTGAGGTCATTGGGTTGCGTCCTCTTTGAAATGATGGCCTTACGACCACCATTTGGCACTGCACCGAATCTGGAGGCTCGGTGGATAGTCCAACAATTCATTCTGCATCAGAACACTATCACTTGAGAAATCTTGAGAACTGCAGTTTTCTGACTTCTGGATGCTTTAGTTTTGCCAGTTTGACATAGTTTGACGCTTAATTGCTTGCTGTATGACTGTATGATTACTCTGTATATCTCTGTATACATTAATTCCAAGTAATTGATGGCGATCTGCCGAGTCTGCAGGCCTTGGTCTCTCGGATTGTTCGAGCAGATGTGAATTTACCGGACAACATCACGAACGAGTACCCGGAAGCTTCAAGGTGTACACGAGCAATGCTGAGACAGCAACCAGACCGAAGACCAAGTGCAATGTCACTGCTCAACCGGCCCAGACTACAGCCACCAACCTACGAACTTCCTGGAATGCAACCAGAATCCACCAGAGACACGAAGTTGTTTGATCCCCCCAGCCGAGAACATCGAGACCGAGACCGAGACCATCGCGAATTGGGATCAAGACCGCGTCATCTTGGTGAACCAGTCCCAAATGGAGCCAAAGCAGCCTTTTCTCCACGTACCAATGTGAGGACCAAGTTGACCAACCAGGTCTTGGACGAGTCCGATGAAAAGTTTGGTATCCACCAATATGTGACTCACAAAGGCATCATTGATGATGCCATTGGACGGCCAAGGCAGACTGGTACCACCGGGACCCAAGCTCGTCCCACTTATCCCGCCTCTCCAGCGATTGTAGCCACGAGCGGCTCGGAGACGCGGACAGGATCCAGAGAAGCAAGGTCTGCAAGGTCTTTTGGTCAACCTTTGTCGGCAAGACCCAAGGCTGGGACGAAGTCATGTGTGATCTGTAGTGATCTGTAGTGATGTAAATAGTATAGTAGTCTGTAGGACCTATAGAGTGACACAGTGCACAAGACTTGGTGCAGGACTGCAGTCTCCTGACTGGACAAAGTTTGATGAAATGCCTGCAGGCATACCAAGCGCAGCCACAGCCGCTCCAAAGGACGGGATGCAGTTTTGTGATGATGTCAATGAAGTAGTGACATGGATCTAGCTGGGCGTACATGGGCGCACGGATTTAATCGCTTGTGGGCTGGTCCAAATCTGTTGTTCGGGGATCTGATCCCCGAAGAGTAGAGAAATTGGTGTTGGATCGAGTGATGTAGCACGCACGGGTACGTGCGAACCAGGATGTTCATCATTCATGCTCACATCTTTGCCAGTTTTTGGACATTTTGAAACATGGACTGCCTGGCCCTGGCCAGTCATTATCTAAGAGAGTTTGAATTTGCATGGCGGCTTGTTGGTTTGTGTGGATTCTCGCGGAGTGTCACGAGAGCGGTGACGCTTTGGACTCCGTACTGAGAATCGTGAAAGCTAAGGCTACTAAAAATGAATCATCACAATCTGGTCATGTGATTTTTGCTGTAAACTTCTTTGAAGCTGCCTGTGATGATATTTGGAAGCTGTTGGCGACGGCTTTGCCTGTGGGTTTGGCATACCACGTATGACGGCTGAGGCAGTTATTGGTTCCGGAAATGCTCGCAGAATTGGATGGAGAATGGATGCATGATACTTGTGTGCTCGCACAGTTTGCATGGCTGTTTGGATCATGGCAAGGGCGCATGCAGCACATTTATATGCACATACCGGGACATACCGCAAGAAACTGCATAATTTTTCTTCCATGATACTCCCAGTTTGTCCAGCAAAGCTGCCTGTGATGATATTTGGAAGCTGTTGGCGACGGCTTTGCCTGTGGGTTTGGCATACCACGTATGACGGCTGAGGCAGTTATTGGTTCCGGAAATGCTCGCAGAATTGGATGGAGAATGGATGCATGATACTTGTGTGCTCGCACAGTTTGCATGGCTGTTTGGATCATGGCAAGGGCGCATGCAGCACATTTATATGCACATACCGGGACATACCGCAAGAAACTGCATAATTTTTCTTCCATGATACTCCCAGTTTGTCCAGCAAAGCTGCCTGTGATGATATTTGGAAGCTGTTGGCGACGGCTTTGCCTGTGGGTTTGGCATACCACGTATGACGGCTGAGGCAGTAGTTAAGATGTTGAGATGCTGCCGTAAACCGGGTACAATATGTAAAAGTGATGAAAACGCGTGTCTTGTATGTTGCCTTTCAAAGCTCAGGTTGGCCGAACCAACTTTTTCTGATGCAGGTCCCCGCGCTCCCCTGGTCCAGCAGACCACACAGAGCATGGTACAGGCCAGGATGAGTGCGACACTGAGGTAGGCGATGTGTCCTGAATCTCCTTGGCCTTTGAAGTGTCTTCATTATGGAAAGTTTCGAAGCTTTCACTGCGCATAGACATGCCTCTTGTTTTTGTTCCCCCGCAGGAACAAGGAGCAGCTCGACTCCACGCTCTCCGTGCGAGGCGTGTCAAAAATGTACTGCACAGCTCTGAACAGTTGCGAAGTCTGCTCTGTAAGGACCGAAGCTCCAAGTTTCAGCACCGCCGGGAAGAGCGATGTCGGCAGAGCCAGGCAGCTTTTGAACCATCCCTAAAGTCAACGCAGCTTGGTGACTTGGTCTTGCCTGAATTATCTTGAAGTAGACGAATCAATGGAGTTGCGTCTTCTTGTATCACAATACACTAGTGTGCAAGACGAAGTAGTGTAATGTAGACGAAAACAACCGAAAACATAAGAAAACGATGAGTGCTTGAAAAGGCCTTCCGGCAATGGCTGCGCGAACAGCGGGCCAAAGGCAAGGAGAGCCCAGGCGGGTTCCGTGAAAACAACCCAAGTTCTGCTGAAAGGCTCCGCAGAAAAGATACCCTTTGTTTTCTGCAGGAGCAATGGCAGATTCCTCGCAGAGCCCTAAACAAGAGGAGCAGCTTTGAAATGCTTTGAACATACTTGAACTTTGAACATACATGAACATACATGAATATACTTGAACATACATCAACATACATGAACCTAGTATAAGAATGCATAAAATAGGTTTAAATAGAACAATCATTGCTTTGTGACGTTGCAGGAGTCATCTCCATGCGAATTCTCTCCTCAGTCGGTTGTAGCCACAGCCACTGCCCGGGTCTGAACGAACATGTCTTGGGACGCTGGTGCAATCAAAGTGCGAGTGCGAATTATCAGAATCTCAAAGTTACATGTATTGGTCCTATTGGGATTATTGGGTATCTACACCATTTACATCCATTGCAAGACAAATTAGACAAAGATATCGAAGTCATCGAAGCTTCTGTTTTCTTGGTTTTGATACAAGGAAAGCGCAGGAGAGCCTGGTGACAAGCTAAATGAGCTACTGTGCTGCAAAATGGACTTGTCCAAAAATGGGAAATACCACCGGATTCCCCAAAAAGGCAATTTAGATCATGAAATGTATTTTCGTGAATTTGACTGTATTTGAATAACGAAGGTGATGATCAACCATGACAACCGCAAATCTTCAGCCAAAAGCTTAACATATCCCATCTGTTTGAGGTCAAGAGAGACGGCTAGTTCCAGATCTCCAACATCACCTTCTCAGCCACGGCTGCGGAAACCAAAGATGTCCCAGAAACTTGGCTCAATTGAGAGACAGTTGGCGTTTGTGGTTTGGTGCGGTGTAAGGTCCTGTGGTCAATATTAAATATGATTTATAATGAGTTAAACATGTACATCTATCATGCTTTATTCTAAACTATATATTATAATACATCTATCATGCTTTATTCTAAACTATATATTATATATACAATGTATATTATATTATACAAGATATATAGTGTTTATATTGTCCTTATTTCATGCATGAAGCCTGAAGCACCACTCCCGTGACTAGCAGTGGCAGCTCTTAGTTTTGAGGCCGAGACAAGAATGGAGGCCTGGCATGGCCTGGCGAACTTACACAGTAAGATACATATCTGGCTTTTATGAAGATCTCACTGTCCATGTGACTGTCACCGATAGGACAGAAATCTATTGTCCTGGCTTCCCAGTCATCACCGTGGAAGATGAGGCGCGACTGTATGAAACATGGCCTGTCGCTGATTTATTGCGTGTTGCCTTGCTGACATGAGTGTTTGCTGCCAGTTTGATTGCAGGCAAGGCTACTAGCTCATGCATTTAAATGCTGTTTGGACTGCTGGGAAGCACGTTTTCTCGCCAACAACCATTCTGATGAGGCAGCTGAGGAGCGACAAGATCAATTGGAACCTTCCAGGCGTGATTTGGCAAACTTTTGAGACGACTTGTATAAGAAGGCAACGGAATCCACCAAGACGGAATTCATAGAAGGGTCAAGCGTCATGGTCAACCATGGTCAACCAATATCAACGAATCTGGCTAGGTCTTTGAGTGCAGTCCCTGAGCACCCGCAGCACGGGCACGGGGCTCAGCTCGGGATTGCGGGTGACACGAGTGACTTTCGGTTCTGGTCCAAGGACATCACCTGAAGAGTCGAAACTTCCACTGCCTACTGACCGTGCTGCAGTGAATGACTCAGAGTCGACTGATGCGAACTTTACTGATACTGTGGATCCTGAATCTGATACTGATTCATGCAGTGTTTAGGCATGTTTACGTGTTTGCCCAGACAAACAGTATTTAATGAATATTTGTTGTGGATTTCGTTTGTGAAATTCATATATGGAGGTTATGGAGGGCTATTTTTTTTGT